GAACAGCTCTCATTACAGTTTACTTCCCTCCAGCTTCCCCACTCACTCCTCCTCCACACACCTCCTGGCTGGCAGCAGGCACCCTTGTGCCCTCAGAAACCACCACTACATCTTTTCCCCGACCAAGTCTGCAATCCTTCACCTGTCAGACTGGTTCAGTGCACTAACCTTGGATCATATCCAGTCCGCTCACTCAGTAAATGCCCGTTCCACTAACTCAGACTGCTCGGCCCACACACATTCGTTCCCACCAGCCTAAAAAGGCTGTCTCACTTTGCCAGTCACCCCCCACACAGGACACTGCACTACCTCCACAGTAGAAACTGGTACTTTTATGATCTGCAACATCCACGAACATGGAGGTATTCATCAAAGGCTTTTGTGTGTACCTGCAGTGGTTTTTGGACCCTGTAAATTTGTATGCACTAATAAATAAATGGTACATTTGCACATGACTTTATTATATTACAATCTCTAAAATATCTTCTGTCTCTCATCTTTGAAAGAGTCCCCTTTATTTCAGCAGAAGAACGTTGCAAATCCGGTGCAATGGGACTAAGTAATAATTAAATAGATGACTTCTACAGAAGATGGCCAATTAAGAAACTTCATTTTTGCAGGGTAACATTTCAATCCAGAATGTCTCTACTTCTGAGGGAATACATTTCCAGTAAAGTTAAAAGTCTGTTTGCACACACAGTATGAAGTTATTCAATTGTCCATATGCTCCAGGATGTAAAATATCCTTGACCTGACAGCTGTGTTTAATGTGCTTCTGCTTTATACTGCTACCATTACTGTGATACTCCTAACAAAATGGTACTTTTAAATCCCAAGTTAAAACTTTTTATGCAATAATAATTACTCAAAATATGTGATGTCAGACTGCAGAGGATGTACCATTTGATGTATCGATATAAGAGTTCTCCTTTAGAGTTAAAAGTTTAAATAGAGAGACCTATGCCAACAACAAAAATCCATTTTTGTTTGTCCTCCAGTCCAACCTGCCTGAGCTTAACGTTGTGCACTATTCACTGCTCCATTAAGTCTGAGGTGTTGTTGGATGTGGCAGCAATTTTCTTGTCACAAATAGTGAAGCATGAGTTGTCAATTTTGGTACTGTGAAATGTCAGACTTTGGTCAGTCTCTGCGGCAGTCTGCTTGTGCTGTGAATAAAGCAAAGGATAAAAGGTGTGGAGAAGTCTGTGCAAGTTTGTTTCCTTCCAGTTGCCACTCAGCATCCACTTAGGCAGAAGGTGTGATACAGTTGTTTAGCAAAGAAATGTTTAATTAATTATTAAGCTACTGATATTTTTATATATTTTGGTAGTCGATTGTGCAGGCATGATTTAGTCAGTGTGACTGACAGATTAATTTACAGATTAGTCCGACAGACCCTTTAAAGGTCTGTCAGATGATGTGGCCGAGCAACATATACTGGCTGGACTTCCTATTGACTTCACAAGTCAAATAAATATGAAACGGAGCAGCTAATTCAGTTTCATTTCAAATCAGTATGTAATCAGGCAGACTTTAAAACTGCTACTAGTAGCCACCATCTTGACACCCACGTCTTAACTGTACAGATTTGCAGTAAGTGTACATGCGTAAGCCCCTCAGTAGAAAGAACATTGTGATTGTTATCCACTAATAACTTAAAGGCTTTTCACTGACCAATTAAACCTCTGCTCAGGTTGAAGTTGGGTACAGCCAAATTCCATGCACTAGTAGACTGCAGACACTTACATTATTGATATGAAGTGTCTCAGTAAGCCATTCAGTAACAATGAGGCAGCATGAACAATATCAGGACCCTGGAACTGGCACATCTGAATGGAATGCAGCCATTGTATTATTAATGTTATGAGCTACAACTACGCTTAAATGTTTGCTGTAAAAACAGAATCGTAATCATAAAGGTGTTAGTTGTCCGACTGTAACTGGTGCAATGAAACCTTCCTATAGCTATACGCTTTTACAACCATATGTGCAGTTTTGGAGTGGATCATTTCTTCCCATTTTTTGTGTTTTTGTGGCCTTTTACCAATACAGTTTTCCAGGCTTGCCTCACACAGCAGTGTTGAATATCACACATTGCATGATCAAATACTCACAATTCACTTTTAACCATCAAACTTCAACTTCACAACTACCGCAGAGAATAATGCAATCCGACAGCATGGCACAACAATGAACATTATTTATATGCTAAACCCATGACCAATATAAATATTTAATAAATGCAGGATGTGTCGAAGTTGCATCGCACTGAAATGAGAGTAAATATACAGAGCAATAGTGGTGGGCTTTGTGAAACATTGTAGGTGCTGGTCTTTACATCTTCAATGTTTACACCTACAGTACCTTTATCTTCTCCTTATGCAACTTGTTCTCCTTCAGGCAAAATTCAAAAACATGTTCAAAAACATTCAATTCAGTGTCAATTGTTGACGCAGAGTTTGTTCTATTTTCCTTTAGTTGTGAATAGTTCAGGAATATAATGAATGTATGTTCTTTTCTTATTAGATATTTATATCCGCGTATTGAGACAGTGTGAATAACGAAGGGGACCGAGAAAGTCAAACAAGCGACTGGCACGATTATAAAACTTGTGTGTTTTAATAAAAATGATGTCAAATTCAGAGGGAATGTCCCATTTCTTTGTCCTCATCAGGGAATATAAACAGCTGGCTAATACTGGAAGGTGTGTGTGTGTGTGTGTGTGTGTGTGTGTGTGTGTGTGTGTGTGTGTGTGTGTGTGTGTGTGTGTGCGTGTGTGCATATGTGTGTCAGAGAAAGTGTCTGTGCTTCAGTAAAGCGCACAGATGCTGCACACCACACAAGCACTTTGTTTTTCTGAAGTGGATATTTTAGTGTGGAGCAGACATTGTTAGAATGGTTTCTCGGGGACTAAAGGTTTCTCATTAATTTTTGAGTTTCCACTGGTACCGTCGGAGAAGCCACAGAGGCTCTTTGTTTGATATATGATTCATGTTAAGTAAGATACTACCTATTGCAGTTAAACTCGTCCCAGCCATTTCTAAAGCGTTTTGTATTTGGTGGTTTTCGGTGTGTCTGAGCTGCCTCAAACCCGCACGCCTGCCATTTTTTGATAAGCTGCATGAATGAAAAGCCAGAAATTTTTATTTACAATTCATATTTCCAAATATTTATGAGTTTACCGTTACTCTGTCATATTTTAAAATATTTTTGGCACAATTTAATTATACAATTGGTTATGTCAACCAGAATATATCAAACCGTGCCCCACTCAATGAGGTGCAAATTGTGAGCTTAGTGTTAAAAGGCTCAGTCTCAGCGGAGTGCAGATATCTGACATCATCGGTATGATCATTAGTATTTTCTTCTTAAAGTTGTAATTCTTAAGATTTTAGTGCTGGTTGATTTGGCAACACCAATGGTTACCATGGGGACAAAGAACTTGTTTTAATACTGCAGCAAACATTCCAGGAGCAGATCCACTGTCAGAGGTCAAAAATTCCAAAAATGACGTGTCTCGTTTAGTAGAGTCATTTTTGAATAATAATCTTTCCTGTGTTTCCTGTGGCTGCTTCACAATAAAAGCCAGTTAAATTATTTTAATGTGAAACAGCAGCAGAAATAGAGATTCATACAGGTCTGACACGGTGTAAAGAGAGTGAAGCATAAAACCTGAGGACATTCAAGATAAAATTACGTTGGATAACATCATCATTTTCTTTACATTCCAAAGAGCAGTAATTACTGAATGTAAATACACTGAATGGCTGATGACGCTATATAATACTGCTAGTAGTTCTCTCTATGAAAAAAAAAAAAACAACCTTTTTTATTCTTGATTTGGGCTTCATAAATCTTGATGTCCCGGTTTATTATACCCTATACCGCTGAACCATGAGAAAGCTGTGATGCTTAATTGATATTTATTTATTGCCCACAAAAGGCCCACGTAATAGCCACTTAGCTAGGTTGAAGTAATTTGCATAAATGCCTCAAAATGACGTGTTTCGTGTTGAGAGCATGCAAAAATGTCATTTTGAACTCCCAAACACCCCAAACTGAGAGTAATTACAATTGCATATATCTGAAGTAGTGACCTTCACCCAGTTAGTGTTTTAATGAATGGTGGTGTAGCTCAGATGGACTCTTACGTTGAGTTATTGTAGAACAGATTAAGCCACAGAAAGCCATTCTAAGAGGGCTAGCAAAGACTTGCTGTTGAGAGTTCAGGCTTCCCTTAAAGCAACATTCAGGGAAAATTCTGGTTACTCTTCAAACACTAAACACCTTAAAGCTCCGTCCTTACCGAGTAGCACAATGCTGCGTCTGATAGTGCATCAGGACATGGACTGGTTGTTGATGGGGATTACTTGGATATTATAGGTCATCTCCTCAGGGAATTTAAGTTTAATTAAAGACAGTACTCATTAACTCATCAGTGTTCCACCTACAGTATAGTGGCCCTTTCATCTCACCACAATATTGTTCTGCAGGGGATTGTGGGCCATGTAAATTAATAACCAGTGGCTGATAGCATATGATGAATTCTCCAACAAAACGCTGCAGAGTATTTCCGTCTTGGGAAAGAAATCATTAACATAAATTCACTGTTTTTAGTAAATATGCACGTTACACCCTGTAAGACAAATAAAACAAACACAAGCAGACATTATTATTCAAATATTGATTCAAGCCCAAGGCTGATCATTGACATGAGATTTTCACTGTGTGGAAAATATTGAAAGAAAATGTGGTAAGATTTCAAAACGAAATTAATTAATTAACAATTAATTGATTATGGTGAAAAATAATTAATTCTCAGATCATTCACTTACACTGAAAGTTTGTATCCATAACGTCTCAATTAATAAATCATTATTATATTAATTATAGAGTGACTTGCCAGTCTCCAGTGCTTTAGTGGAACAATATTATTATAGCTCAACTACATTGTTTTCCATCTTTTGACTCCATCTCCCTTTCTCTGTTTCTTCCTGCAGGGCAGTAGTTGGACACAGAGAGCCGCTACCTGATGATAGTAAAGACAATATCACCATTTTCACTCGAATCCTAGACAGGCTTTTGGATGGATATGACAACAGGCTACGTCCTGGGCTGGGAGGTAAGCAACACTACATGGTAGATAAATCACAGACACCTACAGAGAAAATGTTTTCAGACGGCTCACTGTGTCACTGTTTTAGCTCTTGAAATATGGACCATATGTGAAAATGTGCATCAGTTGCTCCAAGTCTTCATGCATATTTATACTACATTCTGCTGTAAACAGTATAAACACAGAATATTAAATGGTTAATGTACATCTTTCAGGGGCTTTTATTGACAAAGCAAATCACTATTCTCCAGCTGACTTAAGTTGTTTAGTGTTTTAATAAATAAAGAACAACTGACACTAGCAGTTAATTGTTAAGATGAATTGGTAGAGGTAAAAATTGGGATATTATATTTTTATTTACTGTAATAATTATCAAACACGATATTGATTCTGCTATGGTTGAATTATTTATTTCCAGTGGTAGTTTGGGGGCTCATGGATCTATAAAGTCACTCTCTGGCTCTCTGTAAACCCATCTACTGCTTGTGGACATGGACACATGGTACCTCATAAAGATGGCACACCAACTCCAGAATCACACTGAAGTCAGGTCACTTTGGGCAGAAAATCTGGTTTCCCTTGGGTGGAAGTCTGCTCAATCATGCCCAAATAGCAAATAAGCACATATGTCAGTAGAAATCCCTCTAATTGATGCCATTTCATCCAAATATTCGCCCCCCAAGGACAACAAACTGCATAACAGCAAGCCCACATGCTCAAGCAGCCTTTGCCATTTCTCAGCCAGCCAGCTGGAATGGTCATTTCTGCTCTACTGCTTGCTGCTTGAAGCCACGAGCGTGGCTACCAGGCTGCAAGCCCACCAGGCTGGATGACCTGGACTCCATGGCAGCAACCAGAGAGAAGAAGCAGGCACAAGACGTTAATGTCATATTCAGCCTCTGTGCGGAGGTTCACATTTCCAAGGGCAAGGAAATGGCGTTGAGGCCTGCACCACTCAGGGACTTAGAGTCATGATGGCTTCCTTTTGGAGTGCAGTGACTGAATGTGTGGACCTCTGAGGTGCAGTGAAACATAGCAGGCTTTTACCAGGCCCATGAGACATACAGGCAATATACAGGCAAAACCGGCCAGTGGAAAAAAACAAGAGCAAGCAGATACAGGAGTGGAAATTCCCACTGAGATATGAGCACTGGTACAATTATAACTAAAACAATTGAGTCTCATCGGTTGAAAAGATTTAGATTTAAAACTATGGGTAGATATGCCTTTTTTAGTGTGTTAACTTGAATTTATGTAGTTACATATAGCACTATATGACATATTTCATTAAAATTTTATTAAAACTAGTATTACAGACCTATTTAATTTCTCCAAATTTGAAACGTTTGTTTCATTCATTAGACAGCAAGTTGGTCCTATTTTTTATTTCAACATAGATTATGATAAATGATAATTGTTTGTCTATATTTTATAGAATATGAGTGTTGTCTTGTGTATGTAAGATGCCAGAGTATTGCAGAACACTGTATCTCTCTTACTGATCATACTTTCCAGGTGATCTACAATGCAGAGTTTAATAAACCGAGAGACTGTTGTGTCCATCTATGATACATCTATGATTCTATTTGTCAAAATATATTGTGAAAATACAAAATGTTGATTCTTAAACTTCATTTATCCAAGAGTACCGAAAGACCCCTGCTAATGGTTTAGATCTTGGACCTCAACAGTCAAACCATCTCCCTCCAAACAGACACAATAGAACACCATTGGCTTCTACATGTACACATGCAAGACTGTTAATCTTCATCCTGTTCAGAAATGGAAACTAAGAACCAGTTCCAGTTGAGCGCCTCATTTCACATAGAAACTCAAATTATTAAAGGTCTACTCTTTTTCTACACTGTGTTCAGACTTGGAAATAATAAGAAAGTTGCATTGAGGCCAAAAAGACACAGAAAACTAATCAGGAGTCAATAGGAGAATCAGGAATAGGGAAAGAATCTGACCAATAAGTGTATAAATAATAAAATCGATAATGGTACTGATATCAATAAAATCTAATCAATTCCCCGCCTTACCGTTGGTCACTGTCATGCCCCACCGCACACAGTCCTAATGAGAAACAGTCATTTGGGACCTTCTCAGACAAACAGACTGGATAGAAACTGGAGAACATTACATTTCATTTTCAGTGGTATCTATTAGCTTTGCCCTGTGCTCTGGTGCATTGTGGTAAACAGAAACGGGGCAACTCATTCTGTTCCCACGCCTATGCCTGCTATGCAAACTGCTGACTTGGTGTTGTGATAATCACGTATTTGTGAGAGCTATTTGTGTCACAGGCATGATTAATGTGGAAGTGGATCTCCTCTCTCAAGGGGGCCCTTTGCCAAAGTATTGGAGACTTCACCTGTGGGTGGTCGCTTAGATCTGGGACACAGTTACGGCCGAGGATCTATTCACTTTTTGAGAAAAGCCTCATCACTCTCTAGTTGTTGCACCACTGGGAGCAGCTATTTGTCTCACCAATGGCCCCAAAGCCTGCTTTACACATTTGGCCCAGAGGAGCTGATTCAGCCCACACTGTAGAGGGCAAATTTTGATCTGTCACGACTTTAATATCATGTCCTACGTAAGGCTTTATTCAGATCATTTCTGAGGTTTTTGGAAACAATTACTTCACGGCTCATAATTAATATCACAATTAAAAGTCCTGACTAATTTACTATAATGATCAATCTGATCGCTGTTACAGTATCAAGAATAATTTATAAATCATTGTGACAGAACAGAAGCAATAATGGAGTTTGCAATGTAACATAACATGCAATGATACATGTAATTATAATTAAGAACCACATTGGCCATAGAAAAGCCTTGGAAGAGTCATGCCAGATCCATACATCATGTCTAATGTGCTTATAATGTGCGCATAAAATTGTGTAATAGCAGCAAAGTGTGCCCATTATTTGAATTAGAAATACAAACAGACCCGCATCGTTAATGCTGAGCTGCTGCATTTTATTCCTGAGCCAGTAGTCCCTTAGGGACTGTTAAATGTTTTTGGGGCAGGCTAACTAAAATTATTTTGGGTCAAAAGGGATGTCTTCTCTCCAAATATACAGACTTGGGCCTGGCCCAAAGCAGATTTTATGCTGTAGTGGACAAAACTAGCTTGAGCCAAACAAATGGTAGTTTTACTGAACTAAAGGCTTTCAAACCGTCTGTGAAGTTGCTCACAGCAACATTTTTGCCCTTAAATTGAGGTTGAGAAAAACCCCTCCTGAGCAGAATAGTTAGGAGTGCTATAAACAATGCTGTCTTGCAGTGCTTGAGTCTACATTTTAGAAACTGTCTAACATGATTGGTCCAGCATTGTATTCTTAAACCTGCAATCTGTAGCACAACAAAGTTTACATGATTTTGACAAAATGATTCACAAAGACAGTAGGAATCCAGGTATTAAGCTGTCCACAGGGGCACAAATTCTTCACAGAGCGTGCATAAATCAGTTTTCCCTCAGTTTGAAGTGTTCCTCTAACCTTTGATTACAGTTGAATTTTTGTGTGAAGCGGCTTAGTTAAATGTCAACAGACAGACCTTACCGTCATGTACACAAACAATCGACTTAACAAAGACAGAGCTGCAGCAAAGCTTTTTGTGTACAGACTGCACTGTAATGTTTTCCGGTTCTTGTTGTCTCTTTCCTCAGAGAGTGTGACAGAAGTGAGGACAAACATCTATGTGACGAGTTTTGGGCCAGTATCAGATACAGACATGGTAAGTGTTTCTTCTCTTCTTCCTCCTCACTTTAAACCATCACTATGAGTCATCAGATATAAGCAGGTTATCTGTAGTCACTTTACTTGGAATTGCTTTACTTTGACAAAAGTGCTTTTGCAACATGTGAACCTCCTTTTGCAGAATAGTAGAATTCAACATTGCATAAATTATAATCTTGAATGTGTAATTTAGAGTCTGAATAAGTATATATATTGTATAAGAATTCAGCTTGTTCATAATAGTCAAATTTACGGTATTTTCAATAGATATATTGGTATTTGTCACAAAGGTTTGAGCCATTAGGTTTAACATTGTTAACTCCACTATTCAGCTAGAAGAGTTAAATAACTTTAGGAGAAAATCTACTATAGTGCAGTCTTTACCAGCAGGAAAAGATGACATTTATATCATGAACCAAAATCTCCGAAACCATTTCAAAGTTCTCTCTTTTTAAACTACTCTGGAGAAATTCCATTGCGGGCCTTGGATGACCTCCTTTAAACAGCAGATGCTGGAGATGGTTCATGCTTTATCTTGGGACCTTATGCAGCATTTGACATATTTGATCATGCAGCTCTAATTGACCGCCTTGAGCACTGGGTTGTTTCTCCGGCTCAGCACTGAGCGGGCTCGACAGCCTGTATGACGTAGCTCGATTAGTGGGTTTTGGAGAACTTGAGTTTTTTGGTCTCACTAGAGGGCTGCTTCATAGTGTAACAAGTCTCTACACATAAACTTCTCTGGCGTAGTTTATGTTCAGGCTGTCCGACTCAAACTTTACATGAGTCGCCGAGGCCCTCGTGGTCTTAAAACCACAGTGGCTGGGTAGAAGGCAAAAGTCTGTTACACTATTAATGAAAGTAAAGTGCTTCTCTCTACAGACATGTTCAGGTGCATTACGAGCTGCTATAGCAAGAGGCAGATCTGATGGTCTCCCTGAAGATAAAAGGCTTTGTTATGTGATGTAGGTGATTCATTTCTGATGAGTTCCTTTGATGGATTACCTTACTTGAGGCTCGGGCTGAACCAATTCCTCAAGTAACTTGATTACTAAAGATCTCATTATTTGCATCAAAGCTTTGTTTAATCCATATAACTATATACAGCCATACAGAGCACAAATAGTGTTTTGCACAGATTATTAGTCACACAATGCGCTTTGGAGAGAGAAAATAGTCAGGGACAAAGAGAAGAAACAGGCCAGAAAAAAACAAAAGCATCCGAAGTTTGGGATCATTTCAAGCTGAAACAATAAAGAAAACTCTGTACAGTTGTAAAATAGAACTGGCCTTGCACAATAGCACAACGTCAGTGTTTTACTGTGAAAAGGTACTTAGCAGATGCAAAGCATTGTTTTTCGTTGGTTTCAGCTATTAGCTCACTTAGCTGTTCACAGTCTGACAACTCTGCTGCGAAGGGTACAGACACTGTAGTGACGATATACGGGGACAAACACAACACAGCCTTTCGGTAACTATTATACTGCAACATGAGCTTATCTACGCATTGTATAGCTGACCGAAGTAACAGAACTACCCCTCACACACCAGGAAAAACTTTCACTACAAAGCCATTAGACTCCAGCTTTCTTAAAGAGGAAGGTTCAGTCGGTTACACACAGGTGCTGTTAGGCTATGGGTGTGCAAAAGTATTTTTTATCTGATTAGTCGTTGAAATGAATCAAGATGGAATACTCGATAACTAAAATAATCAATAACCGCCCTATTTGACGCAAACTGTACTTGTCGAACTTGGGACAGATAATAACGGTCTTGTTGGTAATTGTCCAACAAATGTGTCACCCCCTCAGTGATGTCTCTGGTGTCTTTAAGTCCATGTGGACTGGGCACTTGTATGTGCACGACACAATAAAAACATAACTGACTGATTACATGCAGATCAAATGGCCTCGACTACTCTACCAAACTTCAAGAGCCTTATGTCAAGTAAAACAAGCCCAGCTCTGGGTAACGTGGCCGACCGGTGCTTATACTTCTTCGTTGATTTACTGTATATGTCTGGACTGTACATTACAACAAGGGACAAATACTTATTTCATATTTAGTCATTAATGTAGTTTGTTTATCTTTATAGTACTTGAATTCATCAGTAGCTTGGCTGTTTGTGGTTTCTACAACTCAAAAACACATATTCTGGGTTGGACCTCCACCTTCATGAAGGGGCGTGCAAGCCCCTCTAGGTTGTGTCATGATCTGTCCATGATTGTACAGATCAGTGCTATTTGGAGTTACAAAAAGCAGCTGTTTGATGTTATTTCATAGATTAAATTAGATTTCATTTCTATCCCTTGTACAAATATCCCCATATTCCAAAGTTGCCCTTATGAGACCATTTTGAAGGTACAGTATGCTGACCAAGGTATGTTGAACTTGCATTGTGAGAGAATGTTACCTCTCTTACTATATTACAATAGACGGTGCTTTATCTTTTTCAGCAGATATCACCTTTAGGGTCTCTAAGGGCTCAATTCAAGCCCCGATCTTTTTTTCTCCTCACATGCTTCACTTGGCACCATCATGAATCAACGGCAAACGGCACCGAGTACAGTCAGTGGCACGCGTGATGGCTGCATAGGACACAGCAACCCACTTGTGGTACTGTGATCTGACCAGAGCAAAAGTTAGTGAGGTCACAGCAGGTGTTTTCTGCCTCCTGACAAAGGCAAAATAGTCCACACACACACACACACACACACACACACACACACACACACACACACAAACATAGCATCAACATATTGATTTTTTTTTTTTCAATCTGCATTTCTTAGCCAGTTTTGGATGATTTCAGGATTTTCCTGATCATTACCCAGACAAGGCTCAGTCTAGCCCCAGGCTACGCTGTGTTTTCTGTCTCTATATGCACATGAACGCTGCATAAAGGCTCCAAGCTTTTCCTTTAAAGATGCTCTACAGTCTAGCCTCAAAAGATGATCAGACCTTGGCTTTCAGGAAGCATCACACTATGGAACAGACAACACACATTCTTTGCAATGTCTTTATCTTTATATTGTATATCTTTTATTTGTGTGATATACGTGGTGTATAAAGCAAAATCTTTTTTTCACCTTTTTGTCTGTATCGTTACACACTGTTGTAGGCAGTTATTCTGTGAACAACCTTAAGTTTTGTGCATTTTAACATGTGAATTTAAGTGGGAAATGAATTTGTGCACTCAAATTCTGCATTCACATAGGTATAATGTGTTGCAGAGCTATTATATGGGGTTGCATGATACCCACAAGAACAAAACATTGTTCACAGATCAGCACTGAGAGATCTGGGGGGAATGAGACGACAAGGCCAACGATTATACAGTACAGTGAGCAAATGTGGATAGTAGGCTGCACTAAATAAATAGGTCTTGACTCTGGACTTTAATAATGAGGGGTCTGAATTACTGAAATCTGTGCCCGTTTCCAAAAGGGAGGTCACCCTCTGGGAGTGAGTGGGTGAGATGGTGGCTCGTTTTTTTTAAGTTCAGAGAATAACAAAGACTGTTGCATCTAGAAAGCAGAGAGCTGGATCAGGTTTACAGTTCATGTAAATGTGTGATGTACTGAGGGGGTGAGTTATTTTCATGATTTTTAAAAACTGTATTTGGGCTTTGAGGACACTCTTGAGTTCTGGTGCTCAGAGCCAAAGAAGGCAAATCTACAGTAGGTCAGGGTCGTGCGATCGAGTTTTCTGGTTCATGAGCTTCCAGGCTACTGAGTTCAGAATGAGTCGGATGTGTTGTTTGAGTGTGGAGTGGGACAGCCTCAGAGTATTGAGTATCGCAGTAAACAGTTCTGGGAAACAAAAGCATGGACCAGTTTTCTAGGTCAGTTAGAGAAGAGGAGATGACTAATCCTGGAGGTATTTCAGAGGTGGAAAGAAGCTTTTTTTAAGACATTTCCTTGATGTGTTCACCAAAGTTTTGTATCGTAGACAATTCACCAGTGTCTAATCATTAAAATAAAGTCAGAAAAATCAGCTATAGGCCGCCAAGGATGTAAAAAGTTAATTTTAACTTAGTCTACTTCTTGTTATTGTGTTACTGCGTTGTCGTTTTGTCAAAGCTACTTGTCTCCTTCCAGATTTGTTTAATGAGTCATTACATTTACCTTGTTAATTCTTTAATACACATTAAATTCAAAGTACTTCCTCTCAATAAACTAATATACCACTCTGTAACCTGTAAACCTACCATTGCTTTTAATGCAATGCAGGAGACTGAACCCAGATTCACCCCTGCTGGTTGAATATCTGTAAGAATACACACTCAGAAAGGTAAAAAACTCAAATCAGCTTTTATATTAGTGTGGAAATGAAAGTGAACACAGATTATCCATGTTGATTTTTGGAATTAATTAGTTACCTTGAAGCTGTAAAAAGACATGAGGAAATGTATTTAAGGCTTGTGTTTTAGATTGAATGGGAGAGCATTGAAGGATTAAAAGGAAGGAGATAAGCATATTGCTTTGTGGGAGTGGAGGAGAGGGCTAGAGGAAGCACATGCACACTGAGATAGCGCTGGATTGTGCTTGGCACTTAATACCAAATCACCCAAGTCAGTGAGTGCTACTCTTCTGCAAAGGCTCTTGTTACCTACCTTTGAAAAAGTGTCATTTTCTAAATAGCTTGGAGCACATTCACCACATAAACTTCAAGTGACCTTGAATTCAACATCTGTTTGGACTTAAGTACTTAGTTAACTTCATGAAATGCATTACTGATAAATTACCAACAAGACTAAGAGGCTGGTGCCAGTGACAATGCTAACATGCTGATGAGATATAATTTATAGTTGAACATGGTCACCATCTTAGTTTAGTGTGTTAGCATGCTAATATTTGCCAAATATCAAGCAATAAAGCTGAGACTGCTGGGAATGCCATTAGTTTTGCAGGTATTTCCCGATCCCCTGAATTTTAAATGTAGTGCCATTATCAGGTCAGTATTTCAGTTCGTCCAATACTTTGGTTTATGACAACA